ATGCTCCGGTGGTTCCACTAACCTAAAGAATGCATACACGTATGGCAGGCAAACTGGACGCTTTTGATGAATAGGCACATCTACTACGTACTGTGAAAGGATCTGAATTCCACAATATCAACGGAATGTGGGAGTATAGGAAACTTGATCGTCTATCTGAGTGCATTATGGAATACTTGTTCTTAGTTTATTCTCTAACTACGCGGTTAGCAGCTTTTCTAGTCCTTTTGACCAGCGCTACATCTCGTAGCGGTCAGTTAGCTTACTGACGATCCTAACATTCGTTTCATTTCGAAGAAATTACCAGCTTAGCGACTTTCATGACAGAAGCAGTTGCAAAAGCTGTGATCCTTTCTGAATTCTTTGATGTTTGTTGAGCACCATCATGTCGTCCCGAATGTTGCTAGTCTTACACTGCGATGAATTTTCTAGCCGATTTGGAGACTATGTGATATAACAGGTAATAACAATTTAGTCGAGCTAGACCTGATTAAGTCACGTACGAAAGCGAATGACTATGTGTTGGTGATGAGTGGTGTAAAAAAAGGGTTAAAAAAATCGTAAAGAATTAAGCTCTCCACCAGATGTTTGGTAATTAGGATTCCGCCGTAATGACGAGAAAACGTAAAATCTGATGCGAATTTTTTGCTTTATTAGTGATTTGTGCTTAATCACCTCCTCAAATTTTCAAAAGTCGGTATGTTTATACAAACCAAGACTGGAACACCAGGACTGCTTGTGCGAATATGAGTTTTTGCACTGAACTAGAAGTACTCAGGTCGCTAACTGCTTGAACGGTTGCTCCTTTGCACAGACCTTTCGCGCTCACTAGCGTACATCATTGCAAATTTTGCATAAAGGAAATGAATAATTTCCGTTTAACCGTCCTTCTTTGGAAATGACCTAGCTGTTCAATGAGCAGTTTTCCCACCAAAAATTCAAGTGCCCGTATGGGAGAACCAGGCACACCTGTAGGCTTAATTTGAATATACTAGAATAGGGAACATTCCCCTAAAGTTTCAGCTTTTCATTTTTTCTGGTCTAGAGTTAGCTATTTCCTCGCCA